CCCCGCCTGGGCTGGCCCCTCCCAGTGTCCCGGGGGGGAAGATGTGGAGCAAAGCGCCAGGGGCAGCGGAGACACGCCCGGTACCTCCTGACAGGGCTGAAGACGATGCCCAGGATCTCCATGTCGGCCTCATCGTCGTAATCCTCCTCCTCCTCCTCGTCAGTCTCCAGGCCCTTCACCAGCCTCCTGCCCAGGGCTGCGGCCTTCTTCTCCAGCTCCCGGGCTCGCTTCACCTCCGCCGGCCTGGAAACAGGCCCATGGGTCACCCTCCGGCCGGGCCGCTCTCCCCTCCCGCCCCGGTTGCACTAGGGCCCTGGCCCCAGGCTACTTACTGCAGCTCCTCGAAGCCGGGGTTGCGGATAATCAGCTCAGTGCTGCAAGACACAAACGCACGTCAGAGCAGCGAGCCCAGCCCTGCTCCCACCCAACAGGCCTGGGGCGGGGCCCTTGCTCTCCCTCGGGGCCCCGCCGCCCCGGCCACTCCCCCATTACCTACCAGCCCTGTGCTCTTGGGGAGCCAGGGAGTGACATTCGTGGAACCCCCCCCAGGCCTCTGCTGGAATCAGACAAAGCAAGGAGAAGGCCGGGGAGACACTCCGCTAATGAAGGACACACCCCAGCCTCATGTGCATTGAAGACAGAACAGAGGGACAGCTCATTAGCACACAGAGGGTCTGTCTACACTACCCCGCTAGTTCGAACTAGGGTGGTAATGTAGGCATACCGCACTTGCAAATGAAGCCCGGGATTTGAATTTCCTGGGCTTCATTTGCATAAGCCGGGCGCCGCCATTTTTAAATCCCGGCTAGTTCGAACCCCGTGCAGCGTGGCTACACGCGGCACGGAGGAGCTAGTTCGGATTAGGCTTCTAATCCGAACTAGCTGTGCTCCTCGTGGAATGAGGAACCACCAAGGCAGGAACCGCGCTGAACTATGGGACACCGAAAGCAGAGCAGCACGGCCTGATGGGAAATCCCTGCTCCAGACGCTAATGAACCCAGGCCGGCTCCCCCCCGAATGAGTCATTGTCAGACCAGTTCTAGTAACAACCCTATTGACATCCACATACTGACACTGCCCAGTTGCACTGTGAGCTCGTTCAGGGAACATCCCCCATCGCCAGGGGTGATCAGCCTGTCGTCTCTCTTCCAACTATTGTCCTGTCCCTACAGAAACTCCCCCCCTTGCCCCAAGAAAAACTGCTCTGATACCTGGATTTAAACGGCATCAGTTCCACTGAGACTTCTTCACCTCCTGTCTGATCGTGCGGGGGGCTCTGCTCTACTCGTCTCCTGCCCCTGGGCCCCCGGCTCCCAGCACCACCTGGGAACCCCGCTCAGTGCAAGCTCCATGGCGTGGTGAGGTCTCTCTCTCTCCCACCAACTACCTCTCTAAGCCTAGCCTCCTGACTGCCCTATGGAAACAGTTTTATGGGTAGCTACCCTGCCATTTGTAATCGGTTCCAATGTAGAGTTAATGTTGTAACTGTTTTGTGTGTTTGGCTCCCTATATACACAAGAAATCACGTCCATTGTTACACTGGCTGCTTCTCTCTCTTTCCTTCTCTTTCGCTCACTCTTCCTCAAGGGTCCAAAGGCTCATGAGGTTGCAGTGGGGCATTGCTGTTAACCCAGCCTGCTGAGTCCAGGGACACGGGAGGGGTTAGCGTGTGAGTGCTGAGTACCCTCCTCTCCGGCGTGCTCTGTTAGTGGGGGTGTGTCTGGGTGTGTTGCTAACGTGGGAAGCACTTGGGACCCCCTGGGGACAGACCCCGACTCTCGCCCTGTTCCCACGGATACGTGCCCTGCGCCAGCCGAGCGCTCGGGACCCCCTGGAGACAGACCCCGACTCTCGCCCTGTTCCCGTGGACACGTGTCCTGCACCAGCCGAGCACTCGGGACCCCCCCGGGGACAGACCTCGACTCGTGCCCTGTTCCCGCGGACACGTGTCCCACACCAGCCGAGCGCTCGGGACCCCCCCGGGGACAGACCCCGACTGGCGCCCTGTTCCCGCGGACACGTGCCCTGCACCAGCCGAGCACTCGGGATTCCCCCAGCGACAGGCCCCAACTCGCGCCCTGTTCCCGTGGACACGTGTTCTGCGCCAGCCGAGCACTCAGGACCCCCCGGCCAGAGGCCCCGACTCGCGCCCTGTTCCCGCGGACTCGGGAACACCTGGCCAGGCCTCGGTCCCCAGCTCTGCCCTGATGCTGGAAAGGCCGCTGTGGACAGGCCCTGCACGAGCCAGGATGGGGGGTGCAGAAGCAGCCCGAGGTTCCCTCTTTCGTTATTTTCAGTACCTGTCTTTCATCTGGTAGACAAAGTCCTCCTCCATCCACGTGCCCGCTGAGCCGTCGGGAGGCTGGTAGCGCAGGTCCAGCTCGACATAGATCTAGGGGGAAAGGCAGCCTGCACAAGGGCCCCGACAGCCAGAACTGCCCACTGGGAGGAGAAAGGGCAGGACAGACTAGAGAGGAAAGGAGAAGGAAGCTCACAGGGCTCCCCGTCCTGGCCGGCCAGCGGACAGGCAGCCTCCCTGCTCACAATCCAGCTGGCTGTGCAAGAGAGGAGATTGCATTTGCCCAGTTCTCCTCCCAGCCACCGCTACCAGCTGCTTCCCAGACCCGCGGCCAAACGATGCTCAACTAAGCCAAGCTCAGGTTTCCAAGTGTAAAATGCAGCACTAGCAGCTTTGCCCCAGGGGCCTGGCGCACCCCGGGAAGGAGAGGGCCCTGGGCATGGCCAGGGCCAGCTAACGTGGCTTTAGCCATTGCTGTCCTGACCTTCGCTCCGGGCAGAAGATGCTAATAAACCACGTTCACTAACTGGCCCTAACCCGCCAGCGGGGAGGCGGATTTCCCCAGCCAGGCTGTTCCGGGACTTGCCCCGGAAGGGTGGGGAGAGGGGCGGGTTGCAGTGACAGCAGAGGGCGAAAACAACCCTCCAGCGCTCCCTTTGGAGAGGTCGGCCAGCCGGCTCTCTCCGGGGAGAAGGGACGCAGGCTCAGGTGGGAGAGGCTAGTGGCCTGCTTGGGACTTGGTTTTAATCCTGCTTCCATCTTCCCCCCAGGCAGGGCTAGCTGGGCAGCTGCCAACCTATGGGAGGTGCCTGATGACAGCTGTAAGGGGCGCGCAGCACCCCTTATATCTGCCATCAGGCGCCGCGCGCCCGGCTCCCGGATCGCAGGCTGCAGCAGCTCCTAGCGGCCACCCTGCAGTGGCCACCCGGGGTGGGGGCTGCGTTAACCCCCGCAGCGCCGGCCAGCAGCACCCTTCTCCCCGCCCCGGGCGGTCCTGGGCTGTGCGCCAGCAGCAGTAACTGGGCTGGGCCGGGCCGGGCACGTGCAACCTGCCACCACCAGCTCCGCGCGCCCTTCCCAACGCTCCAGGCAGGGCCGGGGCCACGCATGCGCCCACCCACAACCTGGGGCGCAATTAAACTGTCTGCCCAGGGCGCCGGAATGGCTCAGTCCGGCCCTGCTCACATTATTTTGAAATAACAAGGCAAGTGTCCACACAGCAAGCTCTTTATTTTAAAATCATTTTGAAATAACAGACTTCTTATTCTGGAATAATTAACCCTCATTTCATGAGAAATAATGCCTATTTCAAAATAGCTATTTAGGAAAAGGATGTGTGTGGACGGTGCAGCTGGGGTTATTTAAATATATTTGGCCTCCGGAGCTTCTCACAGATTGGTCACTCTGTCCAGCATCCACCTTCCTTTGTTCCTCTCCATGGGGGGTGTCTGGCCACTGGTTCAACAAGTTTGGCATTACCTCTGCCTAGTGAGGTTTTCCCTGCTGGGTCTTGCTCCAGACAGCAGGGGTCACCACAGCCCAGCAAGTACCCCCACTACGTCACACCCTCCCCCAACTCGGGGCGTAATTAACCTGTCTGCCCGGGGCGCCGGAATGGCTCAGTCCCACGCTGCCCCCAGTACCCATTCCCAACCCCCCCTCATTGTGTCTTGTGTTTTCATGACACTGCCAACTGCAAAACCTTAGTTCCCTCAAATCCTGCAAGAGAGACGGACTTCCCTAAGCCACTGAAAACATTAACCAACACGGTCAACTCATACAAAGAGAATTTAGATACCATTTTAACTGCTAACAAATCCTCCACACTTTGCTTAAACCATGTAAAAATACTCCTGTTATAATCCAGTGTTTCTCAACTAGTCATACAAGTACCCTTAGGAGTACTAGAGAGCATTCTGGGGGTTACGTCAACACAACTGACATGTGGAGAAAACTGAATTTTTCTTTGAAGTGTTACAGCGCTTTATTATTTTTGTACTTTTACACCCAAAAATTTCACCAACCGCCCGGCTACAATTAAGTTGTTTAAACGAATGTGTTGCAATGGCAGAAAAAAATTGTGTGTCTGAAAACTGTAGGTACTGGGGGTACTTTTTTTTTTTTAAAGGGGCTACTTATAACTTTTTTTGAAAAAGCGTACTTTGTAACGAACGGTCGAGAGAGTGATAAAAGGCATCCAATCTCTTTCCAGCCATCGCTTACATTTAAGTACGAAAACCTTTATTTAAAAAAAAAAAGAAAAACTTGCTTTACAGAGTGAAATTTGGGTTATGACAAACGGACAAGAGATTTAGTGTTTTCCTGCAAATTACTGCAGCCAGTCCCGCCAGCAGCAAAGTCCATTTTACCTGCTCCCAAAGGTCCATCCAGCCCAGTGTCCTGTCCTCTGACAGTGGCCAGCGCCAGGTGCCCCGGAGGGAAAGAAAAGAATCGTCGATCATCTCATGCCGTGTTGTCCACTCCCAGCTTCTCACAGAGTAGGAACTCCCAGAGCATGGGGTTACATCCCAGACCATCTTGACTAGTAGCCAGTGATGGACCTCCAGGAATGTATCAAGTTATTTTTAAAACCCTGTTATAGATTTGGTCGTCACAACATCCCCTGGCAAGGAGTTCCACAGGTTGACTGTGTTGTGTAAAGAAATACTTCCTTTTGTTCATTTTAAACTTGCTGACTATTAATGTAATTGGGTGTCTGAGTCTTGTATTATGAGAAGTAGCAACGGACACTTCCTCGGTCACACCAATCAGGATGGTACAGATCTCTATCATACCCCCTTCAACGTCTTTTTTCCAAGCTTAAAAGTCTAAGTCTTTTTACTCTCTCCTCATACAGAAGCTGTTCCGTACCCCTCATTATTTTTGTTCCCCCTCACTGTTTGGTTTCTTTCCATCCTGTAATATTTCTTTCTGAGATGGGACAGTCACTTCTGCACACAGTTTTGCAGACATGGGTGTAACAAGGATTTGTAGAGAGGCAAGAAGGTATTTTCTGTCTTATTCTCTGTCCCTTTACTAATAATTCCCACTATTCAGTTTGCCTTTCCACAGCTGCTGCACATTGAGAGGCTGCGTTCAGAGAACTCTCCACGCCGACTCTAAGCTCTCGAGCGGTAACAGCGAGGCCCCAGCATTCTGCATGCGGCGCTGGGATTGTGTTTCCAGTGTACGTCACTGTGTATTTATCAGCACTGCAGTGGATCTGCCTTTTGCCCCGTCCCCCAGGTTTGTGAGACCCCGTCACAGTCTGCTTTGGGCTTGCGATTCTTGAGTCACCTGCACTCGTGGCAAACAGCGTGTACCCCTTTTCCAGATGATCTCTGTGGCCGCTGAATAGCTGATCCAGCACAGACCCCTGGGGCGCGACTATTTACTTTTCTCCAGTCTGAAAACAGACCATTGATTCCTGCTTTTACCCGGTTGTCAGTCCGGGCGGGGACCTTCCCTCGTCCCCTGACCGCTCCCGTGGCTTACGAGCCGTTGGTGCGGGGCCTAGGCAGAGGCGTTCTGAAAGCTGCAGTGCGCCGGGCCTCGTGCGCGGGATTCCTGGCCCCTCGGTTCCCCGCGGCAGAGCTGTGCTGACTGCCCTGCGGACGGCGTTTATCTGCCTGTGTTGCCGCCCTGGGCCTGGGACTGGTGAGGCTCCGTGGCCAGTGAGATTTAACCCCCCGATCGCCAGGGTCACCTCTGCAGCCAGGGACAGAGGCTGGGAGAGCCAGTGCCCCCCCTCTGCTTCACAGGGGACTCAGCAGCCCCACCCCGGCAGAGGCTCAGGCTCTGGGCACGGCGCTGACTGACCGGGCGGGGCTGGTGAATCACCTGAAGGGAGGGGACCCAGGTTCCACCCCACAGGGAGTCATTCTGCCACTCCCCACGTCCTCCTGAACAACTGGGCCCACAGCTCCTAGCAGAGCCAGCGCTCCCCACATGCCCAGCCCAGACTCTGGGGCAGGAGCCGACCAGGTGTTCACAGTCTCCCTGACCAATTGTGCTCTGACCGGGCGGGGCTGGTGAATCACCTGAAGGGAGGGGACCCAGGTTCCACCCCACAGGGAGTCATTCTGCCACTCCCCACGTCCTCCTGAACAACTGGGCCCACAGCTCCTAGCAGAGCCAGCGCTCCCCACATGCCCAGCCCAGACTCTGGGGCAGGAGCCGACCAGGTGTTCACAGTCTCCCTGACCAATTGTGCTGCTCTTCTCCGCAAGCCCCTGGCAGGGACCAGCACAGTCGAGGGACTGGTTGCATGCTCCGTGATTTGCTCCAGCAACAGCGTGAGTTACGACAGACGCCGCGCGTCCCACCTCTCCAAGGCGTGGGGACCGAGTCCAGACTGCTACCCAAAGGCTCTTCTGCGTTACCCCAGGAGCGGCAGGCATTCCTACCGACTGGACGGACACACGTCTGCACAGTCCAACCACAAGCTCAACAGCCCCTACAAGCAGCACTCGGCCAAGGCCCTGGAGCGTCTTCCCCCAGAGATGGAAAGTCAGGTTGCTCTAGAGCAAGGGGCAAGGTGAGACTTCCCCCCTTTCTGCAAACAACAATTACTTCCCATAGAATCATAGAACGCTAGGACTGGAAGGGACCTCGAGAGGCATCGAGTCCAGTCCCCTGCCCTCATGGCAGGACCAAGCACAACCGAGACCGTCCCTGGCAGGCGTCTGTCCAACCTGCTCTTCAATATCTCCAGGGATGGAGATTCCACAACCTCCCTGGGCAACTTATTCCAGTGTTTGACCACCCTGCTAGTTAGGAAGTTTTTCCTGATGTCCAACCTAAACCTCCCTTGCTGCAGGATGCCCATTGCGTCTTGTCCTGTCCTCAGAGGCCAAGGGGAACCATTTTTCTCCCTCCTCCTTGTAACTCCCTTTTAGATACCTGAAAACTGCTCTCATGTCCCCTCTCAATCTTCTCTTTTCCAAACTAAACAAGCCCAATTCCTTCAGCCTCCCTCCTAGCTCATGTTCTCTCGACCTTTCATCATTCTCGTTGATCTTCTCTGGACCTTCTCCAATTTCTCCCCATCTTTTTTGGAATGCGGTGCCCAGAACAGGACACAAGACTCCAAGTGAAGCCTTCTGCACAGAGTAGAGCGGGAGAATGACTTCCTGTGTCTTGCTCACAACACTCCGGTTAATGCTTCCTAGACTCACGTTTGCTTTTTTTTTTTTGCAACAGCATCACACTGTTGACTCCTATTTAACTTGTGGTCCACTATGACCTCAGATCCCTTTCTGCCGTACTCCTTCCTAGACAGTCGCTTCCCATTCTGTGTGTGTGAAACTGATTGTTCCTTCCTAAGTGGAGCACTTTGCATTTGTCTTTATTAAACTTCATCCTGTTTACCTCAGACCGTTTCTCCAGTTGGTTCAGATCATTTTGAATTATGACCCTATCCTCCAGAGCAGTCGCAACCCCTCCCAGCTTGGTATCATCTGCAAACTTAATAAGTGTACTTTCTATGCCAGTATCTAAATCGTTGATGAAGATATTGAACAGAACCAGTCCCAAAACAGACCCCTGCAGAACCCCACTTGTTATGCCCTTCCAGAAGGATTGTGAACCATTAATAATTACTGTCTGTGTATGGTTATCCAGCCAGTTATGCACCCACCATATAGTAGCCCCATCTAAGTTGCATGTACCATGATAAGATGATCACGTGAGACCGTATCAAGTGCCTTACTGAAGTCTAGGTATACCACCTCCACTGCTTCTCCCTTATCCACAAGACTTGTTTTCCTATCAAAGAAAGCTATCAGAATGGTTTGACATGATTTGTTCTTTACAGATCCATGCTGGCTATTCCCTATCACCTTATTACCTATCACCTTCCAGGTGTTTGCAGATTCTCTTTCAGAGGTATCTGCCTGGTGGTTCTTGCCCATATGCTCAGAGTCTAACTGATTGCCCTACTTAGGGTCAGGAAGGAATTTTCCTATCGATTAGATTGGCAGAGACCCTGGGCAGCCGGGTTCACCTTTCTCTGCAGCATGGGGTATGGGTCACTTGCAGGTTTAAACTAGTGTAAATGGTGAATTCTCTGTAACACGAAACATGATTTAAGAACTTCAGTAACTCAGCCAGGGTACGTCTACACTTGCTCCTTATCTCGAGATAGGGATGCAAATGTAGTGTACCGAAATTGCAAACGAAGCGCGGGATTTAAATATTTAAATACCCGCGCTTCATTTGCAATTTCAGTCGCCCTCATTAGCCTCCATAGATCGATCTAGGGGGCTAGTGTAGACGTACCCAAAGTGATTTTTAACTTGTTCTTTTTTTATTTTATTTTCTAAACCTACCCCCTTCCCTCTAGCATTCACCTTTAGGCATTCCTTCATCATCAACCTTCTTGGTGAAGACCGAAACAAAGAAGTCATTAAACATCTCTGCCATTTCCACGTTTCAGGCTACTCTTTCTCCCTCCTCACTGAGCAGTGGTCCTGCCCTGTCCTTGGTCTTCCTCTTGCTTCTAATGTATTTATAGAAAGTCTTCTTGTCTCCCTTTATGTCTGTAGCTAGTCTGAGTTCGTTTAGTGCCTTTGCCTTTCGAATCTTGCCTCTGCATACCTTTGTTGTTTGCTTACATTCATCCTTTGTAAGTTGTCCTAGTTTCCATTTTTTATATGACTCCTTTTTTATTTTGAGATCATGTGAGATCTCCCGGTTAAAGCCAAGGCAGCCTTTTGCCAGACTTTCCCCCTTTCCTACACAGCGGAATAGTTTGCTTTTGGGCTCTTAATAATGTCCCTTTGAAAAACTGCCAACTCTCCTCAGTTGTTTCTCCCCTTAGTCCTGCTTCCCATGATCCTACCATGACCAGGCTGCTGGAGAGGAAATGCAGACGTGCATTCCGCTTAGGGGTGTGCACACCCTGCGCACCAGAGCTGGAGCCATGTACCCGTAGAGAGGGGCATTTACGCCTGGGGCCATAGCCCCTCCCCTGGCTACATGAGAGGGCACCACCCGACCCTCCCTCGGCTCCCTCTCACCACCCATGCATGGGCAGTGGATGAAGCTGCTGCTTGGGAGGCAGCTCCCCACCTGTGGCCCCGCCCATACTCCACCCTGGTACAGCCCCCGCTCTGCCAAGGCCTTGCCCCCTCCCCACTGTCTCCCTCTTCTGCCTCTCCCCTCCCCGCTCTCCCTCCCCCCAAGTGTAGCAAACGCCATTGGGGAAAGACTCTTGGGAAGGGGTGGAGCCCGCTTGCCACGGCCGGCCACGCCCAGGGACCTCACTTGGGAACAAAACAGGGTCAGTCCCGAGGGCTTTGATGTTCCCTGGCGCCTGTCAGATTCATCAGCACGTCGGCTGGCCGGGACCGTCACTGCCGACGGGTGGGCGGGTGCCTCGCCCTGGGGAGGGCTGGGAGGGGATGCTCAGCCCCGGGGCCGAGGCCGCCAGCGTCTGGGAGGCAGCAAGAACTTCACCTGGACCCCTCTGTGGAGCCAAAGCCCCAGGCACCAGAGGACTCACCCCAGTGATGCTGTGGTTCTTGTCCACGAGGGCCTCTCGGAGGGTCAGGCGGCCAGATGTCACCAGGTGCTGAAGGCTGATGACCAAGGTGCCGAGCAGCCTGCACCAAAAGAGCAGAGAGGGAAGGGGCCATTGTGGTGTCAGTCACTGTGGAGGGAGCTCGTGCCCAGTCTCCACTAGGACAACTCACATTGCGCTTGTCTGTGATATTGCAAAGTGCTTCCCACTAGGCCTGCTGGCCTCAGACCAAACTCTGGGTTTGACTTTTGATGCTTTCGTGTCCCCTCCACTGGGTGTGAGCAGAGACAGCGGGTGCTACGGCTGCCCCCCAGCAGGTGGGGGCAAAGAGGCAAGAGATGGTAGCAAAGTGTAGCTGGGCATGACGGGGGGTGTAATCGATGAGCACACACTGGAAGGCTGCTCATGCCGCCGTCAGGCAGCCAGTCGGGAGGGGAAAGCACGAGAAATGATAAATCCAAATACAGGCCTGGCCTTGGCCAGTGCACAACCCACCCAGAACCTGGGCACAAGCTGCAGGGGGTGGGTGGGACATGCTGCTCTGGGGGGGGGACA